AAATATGATGGATAGTGGCTTAGCCACTTCATCCGCCAGTTCCCTCATGACCTGCAGATGCATCTCATCGGAACTCAACTTGCCCTGTTTTCCTGTCTGGATCCTTAAGGGAGAATCTTGATATCATACAGTTATTTGTTTTGCAACATGCAGGTGGCTTAATAAAGAATCCTATTCCAGGACTTTATGTTGTTTAACATTAGAAAGTTGCTTGAATAATACAGTTTTGCTTGAGAGAGAAAGTGATTTTTCAATTAATCTGCATTTTCTACTGAAGCTCTCCTTTGTTGGAAGACTTCCACTGTGTTGCTCATTTCAGAGTAATAACAGGACAAAGGCCGCATTGCATCTGAACAAATGCTACGCTAGCTTACATAGAACAAGTATACTTATGGACAAATGCTAAATCCCAGTAAGAACCAAGTTGAGCTGGCTGAGCATGATCAACAGTCAGGCAAATCACAACAAGTACATTCTTCTTATGGAGGGGGAGACAGAGGTGGGTTGGAAGCCTCAGAATGATAGAACAAACTAGGATTTGACACTTACTCTCATATTTCATCCTTGAGCACCTGCTTCATCTCATACTATTTTTATTCCAGCATCCAGATGCAACTTTTAAAGAACACGAGCTGTTGTATGTATAGTTAATGGAAGGCTGTGCCTATATCTAGCTTTTTAGAACCACCTACACATTTTCTGTGAGAGCTCAAAATGATTAAAAACAGTTCCCAGAAAGGATTCATATGTATACCTTCTACTTCTATTGATTAATAATAGCATGTTAACTGTATTGAAAATGAGACCCTGTCACACTCTGGTTTCCATTGGTCTTTAGATAGCAACATAAATAACAGTGAAATGGCATGGGGTTTCTTTTAAGTGCAGCTTTCTCTTTCTTTGGAGGGAATTCTCCATTAAATATTCTTGTGTGAATGGTCACAGATTCTCTTACTTCTTCAGAAACTCAATAAAAGTTGTATCCTCTGTAGCTCTTGCTACCAGTCCAGTCTTCACCATGACGTGTTTGAGAAGATGAACAGTAGTATGCTACCAAAGCAGCAATGAGTGTGCAAGTGCTTATAATCAAGTCACTTTTTTACTTTAAAAACAAGGAAACTCCACGAGCTTTACACATATGTTTGTGTGTGCATGTTTATATAAGTGAACACAGGTTTCTAGAAGTTGTTTTTTAATACCGTTGTGGTAATTGCTTCTGCTTTGCTTTGTATCAGTCCTGAAATGCTGCAAGTGTGTAGTCTTTCAGTCCCGTGGAGTCTGTCGTGTGTCACAAATGCAGCTGGGCTAGTGCTTCCCTAGTGGTCGCTGAGAATCTAGTTTTCTGAAGGACTAATTGTCCTTTCCTTCTCAGATGAAGACAGGGTTGTTCCTGCAGTCTCCTATGTATTTCTGAAGATGCTTAATTTAAGGACTCAGCTTCATGCTTTCATTTAAGAGAGAATTTTTTTTTTGATTATTCAGTCACGGAAAATAGACCACATGGGTGGGAAGAAGGCTGGTGCGGAATGCATTGACAAAGTTGTAACTTCGTTAGATTTGGAAACTTGGATTATGGACTCAGGGATAACCAAGTTTATGAGTTCTCTTGAATATGTCAAATGACCTATGAAAGTGCTTTTTTAATTTACAATGCCTATGTAATTCTGAGTGAAGCCTTTAATTTCCACTATCAATATACCCTGTAATTTGAATAGTGCAGAGGGCAGAAGATTCCTTTAGATCCAAAAGCGAAATGAGCTAAGTGCAAAGGATCCTCTGCTCTCTGCTTCAGAGAACTAACCCAGTGGACCTTTCTTAGTCAGATGTTCTTCTGCTTAAATTGTTCTCTACTGAAGCTGCCATCTACATGGAGGTGTCCTTAATAGTTGGTGATGATCAGTCATTGCATGTAGGAATAATGGTAGTTGCGCTGGAACAGTTTCCAGAGAAGAGAAGGATTGAAACTGGATTTTGTTTTTAGAAACAAATTACATTCTACCACTTGCATTCTGATCTCCCACCACATCATCTACTTATGAAAAAGTGGTCTAGTGTTTATGTGTGTTGTTTCTGCACTCTGAGATCTTCAGCTGCTCTTTGTATTTGTAAAAATCCTGTATCAGATCTAAGTCACGCCTATTTGTTTAGATTTGGAAGTCACCTGTATTGGAGAAGACAAATTTTCTCATCCATTCTATACCAAAATATGCTGTGTTTGACATGGGTACTACCATTTGAAATTCAGGGGGTCTGACAGCAAAGGCAGTTGGTTCTGTGGAATTTATTCAGTGTTTGAAAATGGCCACTGTTTATTTCAGTGCTGTATCTTTGCACAGATAGAGAAGCTCATGGATAGAAGCATGAACGGAAGAACTCAGGAAAATCCCATGGCTGGATATTGGAGTAGTCGTGGGAATTTTACTTCTGTCCCTTTTGCTGTATTTCACTTTCAAGTGTCAGTTCAGCCTACTTATGTGGGTACCCTCAGTCTTCTGCTTGCATTAAGCCAGCCTAATAGGAGATGAAGCGATCCTTAAGCTGGACCATTCAGTGCTGTCAGACTAACTGAAGTTTGCAGGATAACTATAAGGGCAGGAGACATCCAAAAAAAGAGCTGTAGGTACTGTAGGGAAGAGCAGCTGTGACCCTGCTGCAAGTTAGCTGGCAAACAGCTGTCTGAACTGGACCTTAAGGTGTGCCTTGCCAGCAAGTCAACAGGCTTGGCTTTTCCCCTGAAATTTAACCTAGCTCTGTGAGTCAGAGATCCTCAAATCTTGACTGGCCTGCTGGCAGAAGACCTGGATCATACTGCAAACCGTAGGTATTTCAGTGTGATGAATGTTCCTGTGCTTTTGAAATAACAAGATATTTTCCTCTGCAACTCGAGCAGAAATGTTTCCTTCAAGGTTCTGGTTCTGTTCTAGTTTGCACAACTGCCTGTTCCCTCCAAGTCTAGCAGGATATATCCAGCCCCAAACCGGCATACAATTTTAGTGCCTTACAACAAGCTACATCACCTCTTCATAGTTCCGGTATTTGGTGCTCAAACTCGTTTCAGAACTGGTGCGAGTGGTGTTTTGATATGTAAAGGAGTAAGTGACATTAATAAGACTCTCTGATTGCTCTAGGGACACAGTGGCTGAAGCTCTTCTCAGTGATGGCTTTCTCATCCCAAAGATGGATTGTCTGAAAATGCTAAATATCAAATATGAAGGTTAGTCTTTTGAGTACCACCTAAGTAAAAAGTACATGGCTAGTGTTATGTCCAAGTCTGTTCTTTTTTTCTCATTATATTGAAATTTGTAATTCTCTGCATATTTTTCATATATCTGGCTCCTTAAACATCTTTTGATCTGTTCTCCAGACCCCTTTATCACTATGCTTAGCTATTGCTTTTGCATGAATCTCTTACCATGGAAGGATAGCTCTTCAGCACTGAACGCTGCCTGGTGAAAACGTCTTTCGAAGCTTGCATCTCTGCCCTTATCTGCAATAGTTACTGATTTCGTGAACTCCCACTAGTTTCTTCTGAAGTTTCCCACTAGTTTCACACTGAAGATCTGAAACAAATCTAAATGGGTTTTTTTTAGCCTCATTCACCAGTTGCATCTTAGTTCCCTGCTGTCTGTATGTGTGGAGTTGCATGGATTTTCTGCAAGAGAATTAGGTACCTAGAGGCAAGGAATATTAATAATTTGTCTAGTTCCTGGAGTGCCCTTGGAAACACCAACCAAAGAACTTTCCAAGAAATACCCTCTAATTTCTGTTACTGTATTACAGTAGTAAAAATTTAGGAGCTTTTTGATTCTATGTTGCTTTGTTCAGTGTGCTTTCTCTTTGCACTATATTTTTAGACAGAATAGCTCTTCATTATGTGTGAAATAAGCTCAAACCGGAAAGGGATTAGCAAAACAGGTAGATTTTCCTGTGGTTTACCATGTGATTAGATCAGCCATTGTACTTTTTGCTTTTATTGAGCTGTTGTGTTAATTGTCAATTTGCTGTTTAGTTTACTTCCCTAGCATAAGAAAATAATAGTTCAGGTTCAGTGAAGATCCCAGGAAATACCCTGGAATCAGTGACCTCAGAATAAACTACTTCATTTTGGGTTCTCTTTTTTTCCATCTTATTGCAGCAAATAAAAATGTATGGCAGTTCAAAATTCCTCAGACGTTTTACTGCTTTTGGCAGCCTTTGCTGACAGGCCTCCTTTCCCGAAGTTTTACACAGATCCTAATAGAGAAAATGTTTATGGAGTTGAAGGAGTGTTCTGACTCTTCAGAACTCCGGCCTCAGTTCTTGATCAACTGGATTTCTGAGATGCTGACTGGCATTGCCAAAGTAAACGCTGGTGAGTATGTCTGGAATTTGTATGTGTAAAAAAAGTAAGAGTCTCCTCTGTGCTGTTGTGAAAATTGGGAGAGTGATGTGACCTTTAGATGGAAAGTGAAATAACCTAATTCCTACATCTAGTCATGTGAACATAGAGCTTGTATTGTTGCATTTCTTACACTTCTCCACCTGCAGCTTATGTATGTCACGCATTTCTTAGCAAAAAATTGAAATTGTTATTGGCAACCTTGCTGCAGCCACCTCAAGATAGCAAAAGCCAATCTTTCCCATGAAAGATCAGGCCCTTAAGTGCTATTTTTTCCGGATATTATTACTTGTAGGAAATAACAGTAGCAGATAACAAAGAAAGATGTTATATGCAACCTCTTATGAGTTCCCTTTTTCTAGTTCTTTCTTCACTTGACAGAAGCCTGCCGTTACAAGCTACGTATATAGTCATGCTGTCCTTTTCTAATGCTAGAATTTTCATACCTTCTAAACTTACACAAAAATAATAAGTAGTATTTTGTTTTCTGTTCCTAACTCTTTAGAACTGTTTAAATTGGGAAACTGTGTGTTTCACTCCAGAGACAGGGGAACAGAAGAGCTTTAATTGTTCGAAGTATGTCACAGGAATTCTGTTAACAGGACTTTTATTCTGCGGTATAGTGTATCCCTGAGGAGATTTCCAGCTGGGTAATTCTGCCACCTCTTCTGTCCTCTCCCGGTCCTTGGCCAGTATCTGTGGCAGTCATGGGTTAATGTTTGATGCTTTCAGTCAGCACTGACCATATCTATTACGTACCAAGGTCCCTGAATGGTAGTAGTTCCCAGCTGTTAAGTCTACTCATTGCAGTGCCATCTGGAATGATCTTAGGTCCCAGAAGCAGTATACTACATTTATTTGGGACCATACTGTACAAACACATCTTCTGGCTTTCCTGTCTGGGATGACATGCACAGAACCAGCTTGGGAACGTCTGCATCTTACTGTGGTTACATCTTGTGGAACTAACCTAGCTGTCAGTGCATTGTAACAACCTTGATGTATTTGGTCAGTACATCTGGTCTTGGACGTGGATTGGAATTCCAGCTTATTTGAGGATGAGTGTTCCAGTAAAAACGCAGAGGGATGAAGGGCATATTTTTAATGAGTTTTGAGCACCTTGTTGTTTTCATTATCTTCTTTGAAGGGAAGAAAAGACAACACTGTAACAAACAGATGTCCATGAAGGAGCTGTTCCTCCATAAAGTTCCTTTGCAGTGGATAAGACTGACTGATAATTGCTTGGAAGCTCCTTGCTGGGCAACCCCACACCTTCTTCAGCTGTAAGTTTGATCCTATGCCCTGGGAAAGGGACAGCGAGCAGTGCTCTGTAACAGCTTTGGCCAGCTCCCTTGTGATACGCTGAGTTATATCTGTGTTCCCTTCCCTTCCTTTGCATCTAGCAGAAATTGTGGCAGGTGCATATAAAGCCCTGCTTGTTGCTGCTCATCTCCCCGTTGGCTCTACAAAGAGAAAGAGGAGAATTTAAAAGCATTGCACCTTCAAAAGGAAAGCAGACATTATCTGGGGAGGTATTAAAGAAGCAACTTGGTCAGAAGAAAAGTGACTTGGTTGCAGAGATGTGGCTGCTTGTACAGATTAAATGAATTTAGCACAGGTGGTAACTTTTTCACATGAAAACAGCAAAGCAGGAATTCAGTTAGAAGTACCCAAAGTACTTAATTTTAATCACAAACAGGGAGTATTCCAGTGTCCACCCACCAAGGAATAATCAGATTTTGCCTGTTAGAGGAGATATATGAGCAAGCTCTCCTGGAGGAAGCTCATGCTTAAAAGGCAGCTCAGCTTGATAAACCTTCATCTGGAATCTTTTCTGCTTTTAAGACTTTTACATTGTCCTTTTCCTTTCTAGGATTCTCACAATCATGAGACCTCGCTTGCCACGTTCTTCACGGAAGAACCTTCTCTATCTCGCTTCCGTTTACACGGAAGCAGATGGCCCTTTGTCCAGTCCAGGCCTCTCTTCAGACTGCAGTGAACAGCCAATTTACACTATAGAGAGCTTACAGTGGAGAGCCAGGCAAGAAAATCAGGTTAAAAATCAAGGGCAGACTGTGGAGAAACAAGAAGATGCGCTGGAGAGAGATGATGGTGTAGAGGAGGTGGAGGAGGAGGAAGAAGAGATGGTAACTGAAACAAATGCTTTGGAAGGACTTGCTCATTCTGGTAACATGGTGGCTATTGCTGAGAAAAGGGCAGCACTGCAAGGGTCCGCCTGGCAGATCACTGCAGGTAAAAAATGACTTTGTAAGACTTAGACAGTCATTGTCACTGACAAAAGTTAATTGAAATGCAAAGGCATCTCAGCCCTCTGGGCCTGGCCAGAGTTGAAGTGTGCTTCAAAATCATCTAAATGCCAAATCACTGAATTTTTTTTTTTCCAGTCTTCTGTTTATGTGCAGGATTCATCTCACTTGAACTCTTAAAATACTGTGAGTGCTTTTTCCAGGAGCATGTTGTTACTGCCTTACTAAATTTTTTATCAGGCATTTCCAAACTCTTTAAAATTTCAGTGTATCCAATTGATGGGGCAGCATATATGCCAGCTGTGAATGGCAAAGAAAATATGGATATTTCTTGGACTTCCATTTGTCAGACTTGAGGGTATTTGAAAGCACAGTTTGGCTGTGCTGGAAAGCACCAGTCATATGCTCGTCAGTTCCATACTCCAGGAAAATTGCTGTTATGACACGGTGGCAAGCAAAAGAAAGGAACAAGGCAAGTTTTTAGAGGGAATGAACAGTATATCCAGTGTTTTGTTAGATTTATTGTGGTAACTGTACTTTCTCATTGGGGTGAAGGGTTCTCTAGCTAAGAAGATTTTTGGATGCGTGATTTATGGAGGGGCTTGAAGACAAGAGGAGGAGGTTGGTGGAGAGGAATTGGAGGCAAAGTGTTATTTAAAGGAAGAAGAAGAAAAGCAGCCATTAGAAGACAATGAACTCTTGTACCTCACTTACAGGGAAATTTTCCCAAGTCAAAAAAAAAAAAGATCTGCCTAAGCAGCTTGGCTTAGTTATGCTGATGTGCAGCTTGCTGGAGCTGGACATTTTGAGAACAGAAGCAAAATTGTCCTCTCTGCTTCAGGAACTTTGGTTCAGATCAAGCAAAGCTTTCACTGAAGGAACATGCATTATGTGTTGAACCATCTGATTTTTTGAAGATTCTGTTTATGTAGTTGTTTGGGGATAAACTTAATTTCTGTTTGAATAACATCTATGTAGCTACCATCCTTAAACAATTTGAAGCTATTGCCAGTAGTTATGTACAAACCCATGACAACATGTAGTATAACAGCTATTGACTAGGTTGTTCCCCAAAGAGAAGGCTTAGCCTGTTAAATATGTATCATGGTAATTTGCCTTACAGCTGTGTTGGATGTTATCAAATGCTATATCTGCCCCTTTTTTAATTGTAAAATAACACTTAGAAAGCACTATCCTATGTCAAGATTATTTGTTCTGTTAAATGCCCAAGAATGGTATAAAAGGAAAAACAAATCTGCTGGTTCTTTAGGGCAGTGCTTGGGTTTTTCAGCAGATATCAAGTACACAAAACAAATTGGTTTCAGTCAAAGAGAAGGAAATGGCCAAGTTGTACGTGATTAGCAGGGGTCTCAAATAGTCTTGGTAATTATTGCCGGTGCTCTGGAGTGGGGTGCCTTATCTTCTGAAGGCTTCTGTCTGCTGGTCTTTGCTGAGCAGCTAGTAAGCATTCCAGAAAGAAGTGTTCTGGTTTCAGGAAAGCACATAGGCTTAAATCTCATTGTTGAAACAATGACACATAATAATTTGTATCTTTCACTTAGTTACGTGTGAAATAAGAATGAAATTTAAAGGAGGATTTCCCTGTTGGGAACTGCCTTTGAAATTTTGGCGCCACAATATAAAGGAATGGACTCACTAATGTTATCAGTTGTGATGGATGGTTTCTCATTCTGCGGTTTCTGGCCCCCATTGGAAGACAAATTTAACAAATGTGAAGTCATGGAAAAGAAACAGCAATGGATGCTCGTAAAAGCAAATAGTAGACTTTCCAAGACATTGCCATATTCTTTTTCTTTGCCACCTCATCCCAGCCACCTGTCTGTCCAGAATTGCTGTATTGGTTAATTAGGCTTCCTCAGCCTTATACTCTTCTACTTTTGTGGCTTCAGTTCATCTTTAGTCACTGTTGCACTGTTGTTGTGCAGCTGCTAATCTCAGCAAGTCATTAAGAAGCTGATGGGTAGTCTCACTGGAGGAATGAGCTACTGGATGCAAAAGTGCTGTTTTGTATCTTCGTATGTGTAAAAATGGCTCTTTCAATTTACAGAAGTTTACAGAGTAATTTTTGAAAATTAATGTATGTAAGTCAATGTGTATGTTTCAAACAAAAGTATGCGTAAAAGAAGAAGGTAAATATGAAGGGTTGCTCTAGAATACTGTGGGGTTTCTTTTAACGGACGTTGTCTCACAGTGGTTTGGACAAGCTGCACTGTGTAGAGGGCGTGATGTTACATGACTCCAAATGTGTACCTGTTGTCTCGCATACTACAGTGACTTTCTTTGGAAGAGATAGTAAGGTTAGAAATAAAATCAGTTAGAACTATCATTCAGACTTATTTTTGCTGAGTACTTGAGATTGTTCATTTTTTGCTGAGTGGTTGAGTTGCATGAGACCGTATTTGTGGGCTTGGGGGCATATTGCTTTTTGAAAATGTCTCTGGGAAGCTCCGACTCCTTGTTTATGTACTGTTTTTATACAGATGAAGTACGATGGAAGGACTTTCCTCTTGGGAAACTCCCAGGTCAGACAGATGACCCTGATGGTCTCATGTTGGATAATTATTCCATGATGTCCCTGCTTGATCAGCCAGTGAGAGATGAGTGGAAGTCTCCCAATACAAAGTGAGTAATGGTGTGGGCAGGACTTTGCCCCTGAACCATGAAATGCATTTGTGTCTCTGTGCCTTGTACTATATGATACGAAAAATTAAGGATGAGATTTCCTTTTTATTTCTGTTTGACTAAATAGTTTGATGCAAATATCTACTACTATCTCTGATATCTACTAACTGCACTTCTCATGGATTTTTCAAGTAATGTGTGTGTTTGGAAGGACCTTTGCAGTGCTGGTGTAATAGCATAAGTCTGCCCTTGAGACTGGGCTGACAACTTTCAGTGTTGTCTGGTGCTGTTAGTAGGATACAGTCTGCTGATCCCTTAGGATTACTAGTTTGGAAGTGCAGAATTTTTAAAACAAGCTACTGAGAGCTGGTGCAGAATCTGCCTGGTGATACACTGAGATGAATAACTTCACTGGGAAGAGCTGTGACCTTGCAATTAAAGCATTCAGGACCAGAAGCGTTGGAAGTCATTTAGCCTCCCCTTGATGTCAGTTTTCCCAGACTAGCTAACCTTGTCTAGGAAGGAGGAGTCATTGTAAATGCACAGTAGTTTGCTGAAGCATGTTGAGGTGCTTTAGTGGGAAAGCCTGAAGATGAGGAGAGAAGGTAGCCACAGCAAATGGCTGACTGCAGATTACTTCTGTAACACCTGAGGAAGGAATTCGCTGTACATAACTGGGCTGGGGAATACGCTGAGAGTTTCATATCAGTGAGTACAAATGTGTCTCTTTTCTGCACGCTTGAAATGGAGGCTACAGTACGCTTCCTGAGTGAGGGCTATGTCACTGCAGTCCCAGTTACTCATCCTATAGTTAACCCAGCACGAGGCAAACCCTCTTCTTGCTCTCCCCCACCACATCAGGAAACTCTTCCTGCTTGTTGGTACTGTATTAGTCTGACAGTATGCTTGCATTTTGATGGACATAGTCAGACAGAAGTTATTGCTACCTGTGTTGCTGTGACTACTCACCAGTATCATAGGAAGTTACATGAAGTAACTAACAATCATCCTTCGAAGCTGAAAGAATATACTCCACACTTACCTCCCTGCATTTGTCTCCTTGATCTTTTCCTGTCATCAAGTCTGAGAGCTGTTATTTGTAATTGCTGCTGCTCTCATTCCCTTCTGGGAATGTACTTTTGTTTTGCACTCCTTGGGTCTTTTGCACTGTCTGAAAGTTAAATGCAGTGGTCATAATTGGCAATAAAAATGTGATTTCCATGGTATCCTTTGAGGAAGCCAGCTTATAATCTTACCATCTTCACTCCTGCTGCTCTTTCTAAAAGAAACCATTGCAAGGATTATGAGATACTGCTGTTCAGCAGTTTGAAAGTTATTAGCACAGCCTCAGCAGGCTTGAAAATTCAGTTTCTGTTAACTGGGGCTCTGATCCTCAGCCACAGTATGTTGGCATTGCCCAGTGACCTTTTCAGAGCTGCAGCTAGTAATTTAAGCTGCAGATCTGACCTCAGTAAAGAAACACAGGTTGTCATGGAAATAATGGTAGCATTCTATAAAGATTTAGTTAGATCACCTCTGTTACTAAATGAAGCTTATCCAGTTAAACCATCCCATTGAAGGAATTTTAATAGGGTCATTGTTTCACCCTTTGAAGTCAAAAGAACTTGAATGCTGAAAACTATCAAATCAATTTCATCCCATACAGAATAGGAGAAGGGTTTATATGTATGTTAATCCAAGGAGCACTTCAGAATATAAATGAATGGCCGTCATTTTCTTAAACACTTGATAGGATAACTTTCTAATCAGTGATTCTTGCCCTGTAGTTGATGGGCCCAATCTAGTAGCTTCCAAAAAAAGTGATTAACAGTGACAGTCATGCAGCCTGGCGTGTAGCACTGGGAAGAGCTCTTGCACATACTCATATTTTCACATATTCAGAGTTGTCATCAGATTAGCTTCTGGTTCCAAACCTTCCAAAGAGCAAGGTTTCCATTCTTCTCCATCTTCTTCGTCATCCTCCCAGGGACTAGTCTGCTCTTTTGTCAGTTCAGACCTGCTAAGAGGATGTTGCTTCTGCCTGATTCATCCAATCGAAATGTAAAATTAGCATCTCAGATTGCTAGGTAATAAAAAAGAAACTATCCTTCTTACTGCTCCTCTTCCTGATGGTCCAAATACTTAATGAAGTCCTTGGTTCCAACACTTCTACAAGAGGCAGGACCAAACCTGCCTTTCTTGATATCGAGAGGTTAAATGAGTTATCCTTTTTGCATCCTCTCGAATGATGTTAATCACTGACAAGGCCTGTGCTTCAAGTGCTGCATGAATTTCCTCTCCGACTGTGAAGACAGCAGGTAACCATTTGTCTTCTGATAGTTTATCATCACAAAAAGAAGAGTAAAACTATACTAGATGCAAAAAAACCCTTTTGATTCAGTGGAAGTTGCCCTTTGGTGTCAGCTAGCCGTGAATCATGTTTCTTGCAACACGTTTCATGTTGGGAATAAGGCAAATTCCTGGAATTTGCATATCTCCTTCTAGTCTGCAGAGCTCCGGCACTCTCAGTGTAGTCACAAATGATAGAATACTTGATCTCAGAGACTTTAAACATCAAGCTCTTTGACCTGGTGTGTAGGTAGGTGAGATCACCAATAAGCAGGAGGAGCTGCAGCAGAATTCTAATTGGCTACAGTAATCAGTATGAGTTGGCATCTAGCCAGCAGGCTCTGCCAAGAGATGGGTGGGGTTTTGTTAATCTCATCCTTACTGATTCAGTTGATTTTTCGATGCACAGTAGCTGGAATCATCATTGTGGAGGCTGTAATGAAGTGTATGTGGAGTAATGTGATTCACTGTTCTGGCTTGTGTGTAAACTGCTACTTGAAATGAGCTGTAGCGTGTGCCCTTTCTGACTTGTCTGTTGTAGGCTTCAGGTGTTCTACAATCCAAGTATATTTCTTGGAGTGGTTTCTAGAGTAACAGGAATTAAAAATCACCTAATGATTCCAGGTTCTGCTCTACAAACAAAGGAATTCCTCTAGATATAAACTTTATATCATGCCACTGATGTAGATGTTAAAGGAGCTAGAACTTGGCCATACTGCTGTCTGAAAATCCACAGCATGTATTACTCAATTCATTTGTTAATAAAAATTAACTACAATTACTAATAAATGGGGTTTTGTCATTTTGCTTTGGACATCAACAAAATCTTTGCTAGTGTCAGCAGGAGTTGAAGTGAGTGCTAGTACTGAAGTGTGATTAGTTACAGACTTACTCTGAGTGTGGAAACATCTCTGTTAAATAAAATTTACAATAGAATTAAGAATAGAAAATTTTGGTCAAATTATCATGGAATATAAGTCATCTCACGTGCATCTCCGTCCCATTCCAAGCCCAGGCTGCAACCAACCTCGAAAGGTGATCTGGTCCAACCTTCCATGGGAAAGGGAGCCTAGATGAGATTATACAAACTCCATCCTTGCCAAATTCCTCTTACCTAATAGGGTAAGCTTGATAGCAGGAGGGATTGTGCAAAACAACCCCAGAAGGCGAAAAAAAGCCACCAGGCTTTTCTATTTCTGGATTCCTGAGAAATGTGAGTATTTTTGGAGAGAAAACAGCAAGCAGAAACTATTGCTGCCCAATGTTTGCAGGTGATGTGCTTGCCAGTATTTTATCCTTGCCGCTTTTCTTCCACACGTTATGTGGTAACAACAGTAGTTTAGGATCTTTGGTAATCTGTGTCTGTTTCTTTTACCTCTAATCCTCCGGTTGCGGGTGGTCGGAGAGATGACCTGGTGGTTCTTTTGTTGGTCTCCCAGCCACAGCTGTTTCGCCTCCTTTTCCCTTCCTGTACCAGTGGTCATTCTGCTGCAGGTTCCAGCATCTGTGATGGTGAGAGTGAGCAGGTAGTTGTTTGTTTTGTTGAATACAAGTGCCAACAGTGGCAATATGCTCCTGTACTCTCACAGGGAAGGTGAAGAATTGAGATTTATCACCATGACAACATTCTCCTGTATCCCAAATTCCTCAAAAGTCTGTGCCATCAATGTACTTGCTAGCTGCTCCTTCAGCTGGCAAAACACCTTGCAGTTTCTATTGCTTTTTCAGCAAGGTAATTAACTGTGTTCTCATTGCTTTTACTTTAGTTTTGGCTGCTTTCATTTAATCCCCACTAATTCTACCTGCTACTGTTACAAGTTTTGCTTGCTAGCCCTTCATAAGAAAGGCTCTGCTGTGGATGCTGGCAGCTGACCTGGAGATGTTTTCTAGGTGGTGTTTCCAATGTATTTTGGTTATGTTCCAACACAAAAAAGTCCTCTGGGTTTAGAGTTCCATCATAGTTCCTAACAACTAGAAAGCAGAACCGTGAAGCAAGCAACCACTGGGTGCTCCTGGTCATGCTACACCTTCAGTGTTACGTTCCTTTCTCCTTCTTACCAACTTTGACACTTGTAGCTGCTTTTGTGATGCTCAGTTGTTGCAGTGAGTCATGTGAGGCAGTTCAAGTCTTGGCAGTTTTACAGCACTGGCAAGCACTAGTTGACTGTTATGATTAAACGGTGACTTGGTAAAGCTTCCAGCATGGCCCTGACTTATTATCGCCTCTTGTGACTTCAGAATAAATGCAATTTAATTCTTTGGATGTGGAGGGCATATAAGGGTAGTAAGAAAGAATTTTGGGCAGTAAAACTTGTTAGGATTTCTGAATATCTATTAAATATCCAAAGTTTGCTTTCCTTATCGTACTTCAAGAGCAAAGCATCACGGTGTCATTAACATGGAAGCTGGAACTGTGGTTCTGGGAGTTACAATGTCTGTGAAGGTGCTTTGAGATTCTTGCTTGAATATTCTGCAAAGGTACATATTTAAAGGATCTTAAGAAAAAAACCCAAACACAAAACAACCCGCACTTCAACAAGTGCATCTAAACACAAGGCTGACTTTTGGGTCAGCAAGTTTCTGATTCACAAACTGCTGGCAGGTGGGAGGGTAACTGGGACCACTGTTCTTCTGTTCTGTGCTTGTGCGCT